AGAGCTCCTAACTCAGGGATAGAATGTTTAAATTTTCCTAGTCTTATATGTCTGTGTTTTCTAGTTTTATACCATGCACATGTACTGCTCTCGTAAAAATATATGTAGTCTGAAAATACTGAACTCTAAAATGCACCGTTTTATAAGACAAGATTACCCCTAGGGACCAACTTCCAGCCAAACACCAGCCAGACCTCCAAAGCGAACAATAGCATCAGGAAGGAATGCTCTCCTCAGGACAAACAGCCACAGCATCTGCCCAAAGTCAAAGCTCAGAAGTCAGAAAGGGGCAGGGAAGAAAGACAGATGCCAACAGGAACCCAAGGAGGAAGCGGGAAAACAGTGGCTACATCCAGGGGGCTTTAAGAATGCCATGAAACCAAATGTGAAAATACAAAGTTAATTTGTCCTGGAAACGTTCATTTGCTGACGCTGTATACCATCCAGTCGGTTCTGACCCTGTATAAGGTTTCTGAGGCTGTAAATCTTTTTTTTTTCGAAGCAGAAAACTTCCCTTTCTCCCATGGTGCAGCTGTTGGATTCAAACTACTGACCTTGCGGTTAGCAGCCCAGCACATAACCCACTATGCTACCAGGGATCCTGAAATATTCACCTAAATAATAAAGATATAAAGTTAAGTTATCTACAGTGTAAATTATCGATAAATAAACGTTCAGTCTCTGGAGAAAGATATCATGTTTGGTAAGGTGGAGGGTCAGAGAAAAAAAAAGGAAGACCCCCAGCGAGATGGATTGGATAAGTGGCAGCATCGATGGGCTCAAGCGTGGCAACAGTAGTGAGGTTGGCCCAGGACCGGGTAGTGTTTCATTCTGCTGTGCATAGGGTCGCTATGAGTCGGTACCAACTCGATGGCACCCGACAACAACAACAAGTAATAAATATATAAAGGTGGAAGTAAGTAGAATAAGAACGGACCCTCAGCAAATCCTCTCTTGGATACCAACGTCATTTCGTTTCCACAACAAACCTACAAAGTATCATCTCTGTTTTTACAGAAATCACAAGGACCAGGAGTTCCCTGCTGGTGCTAGGCTGCTAATCAAAAGGTTGTCAGTTCAAGTCCACCCTCACAAGAAAAGACCTCCCCCAAACGAGGCACTGAAAACCCTATGGGGCATGGCTCTGCTCCGATACACATGAGGGCCCGTGCACCACAGTCAGCACATTCACAACTGGCTTTTCCATGAGAGTAAAAGCTAACATTTGAACACAAAGCCCATGTTCTCCGCACTTTGCTTAGAAACACTTTCATGTTCACTAAGTTTCATTTTTTAAAAACATCAAAAAAACTTTACTACATGCCAGGATTGTATGCCAGGAGTCCTGGTGCGGTGTTGCAGAATAAGCATTGGACTACAAACTCAGCTTGAACTGCAAGGTCGGCAGTTCAAGCTCACCAGTCACTCCTCGGAAACAGTTTACAGAGTTGCTGTGAGACGGAACTAACTTGCCAGCACTTAACAACACACACACAGCTAAGTATTTCCCATGAATTACCTTGATTTCTACACCCGAACAAGCCATGATCACATGATACTCGCATTACTCCCATTTTACAGATTAGAAAACTGAGACACAGAGAGAAATACGTCTCCCGCCTTTGCACAGCTAAGAAGTGTCAAGACCATGAACCAAGCTCAGGCCAGCTGAGTTTACACCTCAGGAGTTCCTACTCACCACACGACCCCGTGTCTCTAAACCTCCACTTTTGAACAAGTCCCCGGTGGAGCAGGGAAGAACAAGTAACAGCCACAGAAGAGAGGGGCGTCGACCTCAGAGGCCCCCAGAGGTGTGTCGGGGAGAGTCATCCTGCTTACCTGTCCAGGGCGGTACTGGTTGGCATGCTCCTCCCAAATCCGCGGACACCCATCTGACGGAAATACGGAATGCAAGAGAGGTTGGCAGCAATAATGGCCAGGGAGTCGGATGGGCTCACAAAGAAGCCATTTTGGCCGAGGATCATGTACCGGTCCTGGGGAAAGAATGCACGAGGATGACCAGATGGAGGCATCTTCCGCAGCTGTGCCCGTTCCCAGCAGCACCACAAACACGTTACTGCCTTCCTTTCTTGACAGCTTGTTGTTGTTGTTGTTGTTGTTGTTAACTGCTGTCCCGTCTATTCCAACTCACCACGATCCTCTACAGGGTTTCCAAGGAGCGGCTGGTGGGTTTGAACTGCCGACCTTACTGTTCGCAGTCCAGTGCTGATCCTACAGTGCCACACCAGGAGTCCTTGTTGACAGCTTACACAAGAAGAGGTTTCTCAAGTACTCTTTGCTTCTTGCACGCTGTGTTCTTGACAGTTGACACAAAGCCAAAGAGCATTTGGGAAACCTCTTCTCCATCCCTGGACCTTACAAGGCCAAGTGTCTTTCTGGACAGGACTAAAAATGTGTCAAGACCTAGATTCCACTTGCTGACCATACCACGGACTGCCAGAAGAGCAAATCAGTTCTAGAGGAAATGCAACTAGAATGTTCCGCAAGTTGCTTACTCCGGACAGTTGTTAAGAAAGAGTAAATTCCTAGAAAAAGGACAGCGTGGTTGGTAGAGGGTCTGCAGAAAGAAGGAAGACCCTCTTTAGGACGGACTGCCATCAAAGCCACAGCCGGTGGACTCAGTCATTGCAACTGAGCATCCTAAAGATGCATGGAAACAGGCACATTTTATTCTATTATAAATAAGGTTGTCATGAACTGGAGTGGGATCAACAACCAACAACCACAAGAGCCTTAGCCTTCAGTAACCTCCATATCATTAATTCCTTCCTTCCCCCCAGAATTAATGAAGACTGGAGCTATTGCTGAACTAGCTTGTTGTTTCAGCCACACCAGCTATAAATCAAGATTTACTGCATGAAGACTTGGGTTTTTTTATTGTTATTTTAAAAAGAAACCACCTTTTTATAGCATCATGCTAATCTGGACCAAATAAAACAAACCACTCTTTAATGGCAACATTTAGCACTGAGACCGAGAACAGATGTGTTTGCTCCGTACATGTTAGCACCAGACATGGTTGTGAACCTTCTGGCTTTGGAAGCTTGGCTCCTGATTCTGCTAAGGGCCAGCGGGCAGCTAGCTTTCTGACTCACCCCATCAGCATCAAACGCGGCTCCAAATCCATACTCGCCTCCTTTCATGGCTTCCAGGAGGGTTGTTGCATATGTCAGGTTGGGGTCAGGATGCTGCCCCCCGAAGTCTTCCAGTGGAACACAGTTGATAGCAGAATTGGCTGGTGCCCCCAGTTCATCACACAGGACCTTCCTCACATAGGGGCCCATCACTAAAACAAGACACAAAGCAAGGTGAGACCTCAGCCAACCGCTAAGAGAATCTTACTACCGTCTGAACCAGGATAGCCATCTAATACATACAAGAGGAAAACATACATCCCACAGGCTTGTGCAGGGCACAACACGGAAACATATTCATTCACTTCAGCTACTACTGGTTACTGAGTACTTGCTAGATAGAGGACGCCTTCAATAAACTAAAGGAATCTCAGTCTCCACAGCCAGCTACCACAACCAACTGCTCTGAAAGGGATCACATTAGAAGGTCCTGGAGAAGAGAGGGAGAAAAACTTAAATTTATAAACAAGACCAGTTGGATGGAAACCACTGGTTGGATGGAAACAGGTAGAACGCTGAAACTATAACCCTTGGTCCCCCTTCAGGTTTGGACCTGAACTCACCCTGTGGCTCAGTTTTCAGACAACAGACAGGTCCTTAAGGGAGGTAAGCACACCTTAGAATCATCAACCACTGAGATCACAAGGGCAAATAGCCCGCAGGACCAAGATCCGAAGGCGGGGAACGAAGGAGAAATGGAAACAGGAAACACAGGAAGGAAGCAAGACACTTGGTCTTATACTGTGAGGCCGGTGGTCAGTGAGATGGAACTAAATGTGTCTGAACTGTTGAATAGAAAACTCATCTGCCCTGTAGACCTTCACTTCACCCAAGACACAAGAAAAAGTTTAAAAAGGAAAAGAGATTGCTTTATATATTCAAAAGCCCACACAGGTTCCTATGTATGTATGGAGTCCTGATGTGGTACTGTAAGGTCAGCAGCGGTCGGCAGTTCAAACCCACCAGCCGCTCGTCAGAAACTCTATACAGGGTTGATATGAGTTGGAACCGACTTGAAGGCACTTAACAACAACATATGTATATACATACATAAACATATATATACATACACATAAGGAGCTCTGGTAAGTGTTAACCTCAAGGTCAGCAGTTTGAAACTACCAGCCATTCTGCAGGAGAAAGATGAGGCTTTCTGCTCCCGTAAAGATTTACAGCCTCGGAAACCCTGTACAGGGTCGCTGTGAGTCAGAACCGACTCCACGGCATATAACCACTAGCACCACATGTATACAGTGAGTTCTGGTGTGGCACCATAGGATAAGCACTCGATCTCAAAGTTGCTTTGAACCACAAGATTGGCGGTTCACACTAGGCGCTCCTCGGAAACCCTCTTCAGGATTTTTGGTGGCACAATAGTGAAGTATTTGGTTGCTAACCACAAAGTTGGCAGTTCAAACCCACCCAGCATCTCTACAGAAGAAAGACCACGTCATCTGCTCCCATACAGGTGACAGCCTAGGGCAACTTATGGGACAGTTCTACTCAGTCCCATGGCCGCGAACAACAACATTCAATAATCCAATTTCATGAGCTTTTTCTCCCCAAACTTTCCTAAAAATGTTGCCAGAAAACCATCAGCTACTTAGTAATGATTCATTGCCTGATGCTTTTTATGGATTAAAAGCTTTAATGGACTACAAGCAAACACGCTGAAAAGCTCAAATTGTGTTCTTTGTCTCTGCAAGGGTCTAATTGAGACACAGTAAACCACCCAGGCATCCAAAACCAAACACATTTTATAAAACAAATGCAAGAAAAGCATTTTCCAGTTCAAGGCATACTATGGAGATCATACAGGGGCCTGCAGAGGTTATAAAGAGACACAGAATGCCCAGAATGCAGAGTTTCTCTGAGACAACCTTAGCCTAGCGGTTGTTGTTAAGTGCCATGGAGTCAGTTCCGACCTTGTCTAGGCTGAGTCAGATCCATGGGAGTGTTGCAGTGCAAAGACCAAGAGGTGTTTCCAATCACATCGACCCTGTATGAACTCTCCAAGGCAGCCCATTTTACACACAGTGTTGATTTCAACTCAGAGTGACTCTGTATAGAGTAGGGGTGGGGAACATCCAGCCCGTAAGCCGAATGAGGCCCTCCGTGAGATCATTTGGTCTTGTGAGCAATGTTGTCAATACCCGGAATACTGCCTCGGTCCCCCTTGGTTATGGAGCACCGATGAGTTATGGCAAGTGCTTACCAACAAATGCTCAAGAAATCCAGTCTGTACTCATTTTGGCGAGAGTGGGGCTTTTTTATTAGATTTTGCAAAATCTGGCACCAAGCCCAAAAGACACGGGCAGACGCACTATGTGGCGGTTTTGCAAAGCATTTTATTCTCCTAGCTCTAGCTCGAGAAAGGCCCTCCCAGGTTCCTCACTGACTGAGTACTATGGGGTTAACTATCCATCTTTCCTGGGTGTCGCCTACTTTCCCCACTCACATACCCCAGACGCAAAGGCCACTGTTGCTATGTGAATCAACAATCTAGGTCTGCTCTAGCAATTTACTGGACCCCCTTATTCCTAAAGATGAACCATTTGGAGAATTTATTTCTCACCATCTAACACTGCCAAGGTTAACAGCAGTTCCAGCTATCACACTGGTGGTGATGCACCGTGGAGTCGGTTCTGACGCATAGCGACCCTGTACAGGGATTCTGAGGTTGTAAATCTTTATGGGAGCAGAGAGCCTCCTCTTTCTCCCACGGAGCAGCTGGTGGGAGATTAGCTGCCCGACTCATAACCACTACGCTACTAGAGCTCTTTAGACATCACACTGCTGTTGTTGTTGTTGTGATGTGCCGTGGAGTTGGTTCCGACTCATAGTGACCCTGTCTGTACAGGGTTTCCGAAGCCTGTAAAATCTTTACGGGACCAGGAAGCTTCATCTTTCTCCCGTGGAACAGCTAGTAGTCTCGAACCTCTGATCGTGAGATTAGCAGCCCGATTCGTAACCGCTACGCTACCAGAGCTCCTTAGGAGTGAGTTAATCAAATGTTTGATCAAACACAGCAGGTTAATTTTTAAGCTGATAATTTTGTATGGCCCACGAATGATGTTATAAATTTTGGCAGAAAAAAGGTTCCCCACCCCAGGTATAGGG